CCGCTCAACACATCAAATACAAGCTCTTAGGTAAATTTCTCACAAAAGAAGAAAAAAATTCCACGCGCCGCCATCTTTGTTTTGAATTTTCATCTTTTGATCTCGCGCTTCTTTCGCATGTTTCTCTCGCGCGTGACGCAAGAGTGACCTGTTCCCCGCGCGAGGAAACTGGTACGAGCCACCTTAAAAACTTAACTTGTGTGCAGGCTCAATGGCAGCGTGACACGAGAGGCGAGGACCACGCGTTTCGAGCCGGCGCGCTTGAAAGATGTGAGCGCGCGAGAGGTTCCCTAGCAGTACCCTAACAGACCTCTTGGCTGGCTCCAACGCTTTAGTAATTTTGCTCAGTAACACATCAACAATTCTCGAAGAGGAGATGGTCATGTTGCATTAAAACAATGGAAATGTAATTACCATCTAAGCTTGAACACCTCCTGTAAGAGGGCGAGAAAATCCTGCACTCGTTCCCGATGGATCTTCACGAAGGGCTTCGATGAACGAATGAACGAATAAACCACCACGATGTAGTAGATCTTAGGAAAAGAAAGGAGGACATGAGGTAGGACCCAGGTCACCGTTAATTTACTAGTGGGAAGTTAATTGAACAAGAGAATTGAGTGCTTTTCGATCGAGTTTAGTGAAACCAAATCCAAAGTAAATACGCCTGCCAATTAGAAGAAAGGAAATTACCTTTAAGAGCCAACGGGAATATAGAGGAAAAAAGCGCGGCAAAACGCAGACGACAAAGTCGTGATTAGTTCAATTTTGCACCTGATTGGTTAGCGGCGCGAGATTTCTGAACCAATCACAGAGCGAAGTAAGGCAAATTCAATGCAATCTCGAATTTCTTTCGACTCTCAAAAAGATATTGCTCAAAGACTGAAAGAGAACATACCGACAGCAACCATCAAATGCTGTTAATAACTAGGAAGGCGGCAAACTGTAACATATAGGGAAACAGAAATCATGATAAGTTTTTTGAAAAACTATGTACTAGCATTTCATA